CTACTGCTGCAATACTCTGCTAGGGGTTAATTCCCAAAACCCTAACACAACCGGTTCTACAGAACCAGTCTGAACCGGTAGAATAACCACCCCTGGCTTTGATCTAGTCGAGATAATTCTGCCCAAGGCTTACAGCCAATTTGCCTTTTTGTGTGTGTGTGTAGGTTGCAGTTGCAGGTGCTCCAGTCACATTGTGGCTTTTCTACGACACGGGTTACACCGAGCGTTACATGGGACACCCAGACAACAACGAACGGGCCTATTATTTGGGCTCCGTAGCTATGCAGGCAGAGAAATTCCCTTCACAGTAAGTAGACGTGACACTTAAATAAAGAATATAAAAATGTTTTTCTTATTACAAAAAAAAAAAAGGAAACATACAGTATATATCTCTAATAAAGGTAGTCTTCAACTTACAACGGTTCACAGTGACCATTCAAAGTTACAACAGCACTGAAAAAAGTGACTTATGACCATTTTTCACACTTATGACCATTGCAGCATCCCCATCAGAGGTGGTGAATTCAGCCGGTTCTTACCAGCTCTGGAGAAATTTTGAGTCATTTGGAGAACCAGCAAATCCCACCTCTGACTGGCCCCGCCAACCCCATCTCTTCTCTGCCTCCTGAGTCCCAGCTTATTGGCTGGGTCTCCTTTGGTTGCCCTGCCCAGGAGAACAGAGCTGGAAAGCAGGTTAGCGGGGTGGGGAGGGGAGGGGGATTTTGCAGTAACCTTCCCCTGCCACACCCACCAAGCCATGCCCACCAAGCCTTGCCCACAGAACTGGGAGTAAAAAAAATTTGAATCCCACCCCTGATTCCTATGGTCACATGGTCAAAATTCAGATGCTTGGCCACTGGTTCATCTTTATGACGGTAACAGTTGCAGTGTCCCAGGGTCATCTGATCCACTTTTGCGACCTTCTGAAAGCAAAGTCAATGGGAAACTTAACAATTGTGTTCCTAACTTAACAACTATAATGATTAATCACTTAACACCTGTGGCAAGAAAGGTTGTAAAATGAGACAAAGCTGACTTAACAAATGTTTCACTTAGCAACATACAGTTTGGGCTCAGTTGTGGCTGTAAGTTGAGGACTACCTGAAATGAGATATATATATATATATATATTTTCAGTGATGGCTTTGACAAATGGTTAATCTGAGTATGCCTTAGAAGCTGAGGCCCAAATATATGTGCTTGAGCAATGAAATTATTGGAAAAGAACCAGTTCTACTGTTGTTGCTGGATTTAACTTTTTTTATTTTCATCCCAGTTGCTCACTTTGACTAGCTTTTGTTTGTTTTTTGGGTCATTCGATGGTTTTATAAAATACTGCATTCCTGGAGCGGATGAAAAATTCTGCAGGAAAATCTAATAGTTAATTTCTCTGAAGGATTGTCTTTCTAATTACATTTTTCCTCTTTTTTTTGTCTGTTTCTTCAGGCCCAACCGATTATTGCTACTACATGGATTCCTGGATGAAAATGTTCATTTTGCACATACTAGTATTTTGCTGAGCTTCCTGGTCAGGGCTGGAAAACCCTACGACCTCCAGGTAGCAGAGAAATTTGTGCAGCTCTAAAATGCAAGGGCTAAAATGCAGTTGGGTCAGGTCTGGGCTGGGTGTCACAGAGGGAGCAAGGCTGAGGCAGGATCAGGACCATGGAGAGCTCCTGGCTAACTCTCAAGAGAGATGTTGTTCTTCTACCCCTGATAAAATATGAATCCAGCCGGGTCAGCCTTTTTCCTCCCGCAGCTCTTTCAGACTCTCAGAATCTTGTAGAACTGAGAAATTACAAAAGGAATTTGGGATGAATGAAGTTGTTGTACAGGTAGTCCTTACCACTGTTTCTTAGCAACTTTTTGAAGTTGCGATGTACCTGGAACAAGGGCGTTACCACCCAGCTCTGAGGGTTATTTCCTCATGGTCACGTGACCACTCTTTTTACATCCCTGTTCTGACCTATGCTTCCCCCAATGGCACAAAGCTGAGTCTTCGTCCCAATAAACCCCTTTTATTTAATTTACAATGAATTCCTCTCCAGCAATGTTTGTTGGTCAATAGTCTTTCAAGATAGTTCCCAATTACAGACTTTTTTTATATAAAAATTTTTGTTTTTCAAGACAAACTTAAACAGACAAAACATAAAAACATAAAACCATCTTCCAGTTATATACATACAGTGTGTCAGTTGGTTACAGATCTTTTGTGCTATCCTTTCATAGTCCTTACAGACGTTTATCAGGCTTGGAAAGTGGCCAGGCCGATAATCTTTCATAAGCGCAATACTTGGCAAGAATGTAGGAATGAAGTAATTGTCTCCTGCAAACACCCCTACCCTTTCGCGACTTTTTTATTCCCTATGGGAGGCGCCATTCACCGTCGACTCCCAAGTCGACCCTTGTTCCTTAGCTGTTCCCTTCGTCTGGCAGCTCTGCGCCTGCGCACACTGGGAATAGGCTCCAGCTGTTCTTCTGCCTCACTGATCTCCGCCTCTGAGGGCAGCTGATAACTGTCAAACGGCCCTGGCCCCATCTCTGCCTCAGACGCAGAGCCCTCATCAGCACCTTCCCCAGACTCCAGGACTGGCCCATGCTCCTCCCCAACCTCCTCACTGTCCGAATCTGCTGCCAGCTCAGCTAGCTGCTGGTGGGCCACAACAGTCTCTCGGGGGTCACATGACCACACTTCAAGTGCTAGGCAACACAGCCATGTTTAGTGGCATTTGCAGAGTCCCTCGGTGTTCTGACCCAAACCCTCTTCCAATAAAACAAACACGAACCAAAGGGAACAGAAACCTTTTAATGATTCTTACGAATCCCCAGTTAAAAGACTGCTGCAAATTAATTAACTTTGATAAGCACGAGCCTCGCCAAAACTGTGCGTGGCTGCCAAGAATAACAGATAAGGTTACCTAGAAATATTTTACAACACAAGAGTCTTCAAATACCAACTGAGATACTGCAATGTCCACGAGGCTTGAGTTGCAAAACATCTTTGCTTCCTGCAAAGAACGTCCAATTCACAGCTGTCTTTTATCTTCTTGGCCATTACCTTGCAGCCTTACTCCCGAGTCGCCCGTGCTGCTGCAGCTGCTCTTTCCTGCAAGCAGCCCTGTGTGCTCGTGCACTTGGCACGGGCTCCTCGGGAACCTCCTCATTACTGCTGCCAGCCCCCACAATCTCTGAAGGCAGCAGTCCACTCCCTAATGGTCCTGGCCCCTCATCCGAGTTCTCGCTTTCCTCAGCCGTCCACACCTGCTGCCGGCTAACCACAACACTCGGTCATGTAACCAGATTTTACAACAGTTTTGGGGGAAAGCGGGCCTTGTTTTCCCTTCTATTCAAAAATTGGCCTCCAACACCTCGGCTTTCCTTAGCTCCAGGTGGAAAGAAACAGTCTAAATGTCCTTGACGTGGGTGAACACCTGACACCCTCTTCCCCAGAGATCCTGAGGATTGGATCCCAGCCTTCTGCATCCCAGTCACAGCTGGATTTCTTTCGCTTTTCTTCCTCCCCCAGATTTATCCGCAGGAGAGGCACAGTATCCGGGTCCCTGAATCCGGAGAACACTACGAACTCCACCTCTTGTACTACCTCCAGGAGAATCTGGGGTCGCGCATGGCCACGCTGAAGGCAATGCCCTGATGGTGGGCCCTGATGACGTCTCAGCACGATGCGCCCACAGCTGCTTACCCAAATGCGAGTGCTTGAATGGTGCCTTCCTTCCTGGGGCCTGCTTCTAACCGAGAGAGGAATCAATTCGCTGCCCAGCTGGATTTGGTGATCATCCGTCTTTTTCAGCAACCCACCCATCCACCCCGGTGCCATACAGGAGATTGCTGTACAGCAAATGAATAATTTTAAATGTAAATAATAAAATGAATTGTTGTACGGCCTCTTGGATTCTGGGTTTCCTCCCTAACCAGTGTAATGTTGCTTACAGGACCATAGCAGTAGCCCTTAGTGCTTTACAGCAGTGATCCCCAACCTTTTTTATGGCGCGGCCCGGTACCGGCATTAGCTGGGCGCCGCCATCTTTTTTTGATGAAAAAGTGCTTCCGGTGAGCTTTCTACCCGGAAAAGCTCACCGGAAGCACTTTTTCATCAAAACAAGATGGCGGCGCCCAGCAAACCAGCGGCCCGGTAGGACTTGTTCCACGGACCGGTACCGGTCCGTGGACCGGTGGTTGGGGACCCCTGCTTTACAGCCTTCGCTAAGCAGATTACAGAGTCAGCCTGTTGCCCCCCAACAATCTGGGTCTTCATTTAACCGATTTCAGAGTGATTAAAGGTTGAGCCAACCTTGAGCCAGTCAGGATCGAACTGCTGGCAGTGAGCAGAGTCAGCCTGAAGTACTGCATTCTGATAGATGGTAGAGATAGATGATGGACAGACAAGACAGACACAGTGGGAGTCAGAGGGATAAAACAGAGAGAGCACCAGCACTTAGACTTATATATACCACTTCACGGTGCTTTTACAGACCTCTTCTAAGCGGTTTACAGAGTCAGAGCTCGGAAGGATGGGAGGCTGAGTCCACCTTGAGCTGGTCGGGATCGAGCTCCTGGCAGTCAGCAGAATTAGCCTGCAAATACTGCATTCTTACCACTGCGCCGCCACAGCAACAAAGGTTAACTGAGGTTAAATTGAACGATGAACGATTGGGAGAATTTGGCATGTCTCGCCTATCGAAGAGAAGGCCAGTTCAGTCATCGCGCGATTCAGGGGACCCTACACCATTTCTGACAAATGGCAGTCCAATCTCTTCTTGAAAGCCTCCAGGGAGGAAGGTCCATGTATCGTAATTGAATGCCACTTTCAAATGAGATTGTACAACAACAAGAACATGACCAGTACTTGTTTCTTTCATTGTCTCGTTGTCAGTACAGCTAGTATTACAGCTAGTCATATCCAAGGGCTTTTGCACGCAGTGAAAATGAGATAATCTTAAGTACACACATTGATGCTTACACTGTGACTGAAATCAAGCCAAGGTCAACATACACATCCGATCCGAGTTCTCGTATCAGTTAAGTCACTTCTCGCCCTAATTCAGAAGCTGGTTGGCTGAAATAGGGATGGATGGAGCAGTTGATTTCCAGCAGAGCACCAACTCATAAAATATTTCTTTGGTCTTTTTAGAGTTGCCAACAGAAAGGGAAGGGGGAGCAGTGAGCAGCTTGCAATCCATAAATGCTTTCAAAGATAAGTTTCTTGGTGGCTGAGGTTTCTGCTGGCGAAATTCTAACTGGAAAGCACGATTGATGACTGGACTATGGATGTGTCCCATTGGAGAATATGAATTATGAAACACCCAGAGGGTGGGGGGTAAAACCAGTGTCAGGGCTCCAACAAATCCACCCTCATTCAAATCAAAAGTTTATAACCACATCTCAGAAAAAGTAAATTGGTTTATTAGAAATTGCGATGTTGGCGTTAGCTGGGTGCAGCCAATACTAAATCACATCATACATTTCCGCCTTGACCCTGGTCTTCCCCCCACCCCCTGGATGTGACTTCTCCAATGGGACACATCCGTCTCCAAGAGTCCTCCATCATGCTCTCCAATAACCTTCCTATGCTCTGACAACTATGGGCTGCCAAGTTGATTATCTAGGCATTTCAAGAATGCCTTGTTTTCCCCCACTCCCTTTTTCTGGCAGCCTAAAAGACCAAAGGAGTATCTTTTTAGTTGACAACCAGGGTCAAGGGTGACAATGTATGATGTGTCTCAGAGTAGGCTACACCCAGGCAGTGCCAGCATGTTTACTCCTAATAAATCTTTTAAGTTTTGTAAGTTCGGCAAGAGACTCATGATTTAAAAAGGGGTAACTGCCGGAACACTGACACGGAGCTTTTGGAGTTTTCCAAAAATTATGGGAAAAGTACAGGTACTCCTCGACCTAAGACCACAACTGAGCCCAAAATTTATGCTGCTAAGGGAGACATTTTGCTCCATTTTACAGCCTTTCTTGCCACTGTTGTTAAGTGAATCACTGCAAGAATCACTGAGATTACGTCTGTATGGAGATGTGATAACCTGGAATCATGCTGCTCTCAAAAAAGATATTTTATTTGTATTATGTTTTGTGAAAACCCAAATAAAACTTTTACAAAAAAAAAATTGCAAGGGGGCCATTTCATTTAAACAACAAGAAACTGGTGTTACTTTATGAAGAGTCCTAACTGTATTTCCTAACTGAGCACATGAAGACGAAGTGTAATTAAAGGCTTTGGGAATGTTCCACTCCATCGTACAATCTGGTTTTAAAAGACTTATTACTTCCAAAATAGCTCTGGAATGGGGCACAACTTCTCTTTGGTGCCTGGAACGATTTACGAGGTGCTCTGGATCTTGACGTATAAAGTAGTCCTTGACATATGACCATAATTGGAACTGGAATCTAGATTGCAAGTGGTGTGGTCATCCGGAAGCTATAGTTAGATTGGAGAAGGAATCCGTATGATTCCCCAGAAAAGGAAACACGAAGACAGCATTGGAATAAGAATGTATTGTGGCCTGTCGGCCACCAGCTCCTCCAGCAACCAAATCAGAGGAGGAGGAGGAGGAGGTGTGGGAGTCAGAGCTAAGAGCAAGGCAACCTGGGAGCTCCGAGGAGGAAGAGGGAATGGAGCCGTCAGAGAGAGAGAGAGAGAGAGAGAGAGAGAGAGAGAGAGAGAGAGGGAGGGAGGGAGGGAGGGAGAGACTGGACCGTCCATCAGCCCTCAGATGGAGAGTCAACAGCCCCCAGGTCTGGAGGTGGCTGATGAGGAAGAACAGGAAAAGCTGGGTCCAGTGCCTGACACATGGATGAACAGAAGGCAGAGGAGAGGAGAGCACTAGAAATCTATGGGCCGGTCCTTGGGACAGAAGAGCTACCGCTGCTAGCAAAGCCCCACCCTAGCTGGATGGACTTGTTAGCCTGCGGTGAGAGAGGGACTTTTTGCCCAGGGCTGTTGGCGCTCCTAATAAAGGCATCTTTTGAGTTCACTTCAAAGGGTTGGTCGTGTTTGAGGACCTGGGTCAGAAGAGAATGCATGTTTTGACTCTTGACACTGAAGGAGGGAAGATTTAAATTTGCTGAAAAGGGAATCTCATCACACGGGTTGGGCAGTCTATTGTGGCACTCTTCGAAGGGCTTCTGCTTCTATTACTCCTAGTTCTCTTCTCTTGGTACCTTCCTATGTATTTGTCACATCCAGATTATTTTGTTTGTCAATGCAAGATGGCTGAAGTGTACATAAAAGCATCAAACTATCAAAGCGGATGTTTCCACTGATTCTTGCATGTCTTTCTTACAGGTTCAGAAAGCGCTTGACACTGTCCAGGAGAGGGGGCTCTTGTATATCTAATAGCCAGCATCCGGCATTTGGAGCGCACTTGCAGTGGTGTTGTCGGTCTCCACAACTTAAAGCTGAGTGGACTTCAACTCCCAGAATTCCATAGCGTGCTTTCTGGGGAATCTTGGGAGTTGAAGCCCAAATAGCTTTAAAGCTGCCAAGATGGAGAAACTCTGAACTGTAGGGTTGACAGTCAGACGAAAACCTTGAAGAACCATTAGATATAATGATATATGGGATAGGGATTAGATATGAGGACTACGGGAGACATGATAGCAGGGTTCCAATATTTGAGGTGCTATCACAAAGAAAAGGGGGTCAACCTATTTTCAAAGACGGGAGTTGAAGTCCACAAGTCTTAAAGTTGTCACATTTGAAGGCCCCTGGATTAACACATAGCAAATGCGACTCTGATAATATTTCTGAAGAAAGAAAAAAAAATGCTAAGTGTTTCTGTAGTTTGCCATTTGACACAGTTGATATTTTTCTCAGGTTGCCTACTCAAACTTCCTAAAAATATTCTGTCCGCGCCATTCTCATGTTCTAAAGGGAGCTCCCACCTCAGAATCAGGAGGCTGAGTTTGATCCTAGATAGAGGCAAAATATTTCTTTCTCTCTGGGCACACTGAGAATATTCTCTGCCAAACAAAACTCCGCACTGGTGACCAGAAGGGCATCCGGCCATTAAAACACGCTCCATTCAGTTGCCCAGATTCCACCTTGCAAGGGATACAGCAGGTTTTCTTTGGTTGCCCTGCACAGGAGAACGGAGCTGGAAAGCAGGTTAGTGGGGTGGGGAGGGAATGCAGATTTTGCAGTAACCTTCCTCTGCCACACCCACCCAGCCACACCCACCAAGCCACGCCAACAGAACCGGTGGTAAAAAAATTTGAATCCCACCACTGTAAGGATGGTGTCATTAAAAGGAGATGATTCTCATGCTCAAAATTTTAAAAACTTATTCATATGATTTGGTCATTCTTTTCCTACTGATCATTTCCTACTTTCAAGTCTACTTTGTACAATCTATTATTGCCTCTAGTTATAATAAACCACAGTTTATTTGATTTCCACTAAGGAATGCAAACTGTTATTAGCAAACTACACTGGTTAGATTCAGAGATCACACTAAGAGCCACGATCAACATTTTGTTTGAACAACATGTATACATGCAATGCGTGGAATTTATTGATTAAAAGGGCTTGCATTAAGAATGCATCCCAGGGTCCCTTCAATAATTCCTTATTAACTTGTTGGCTGCAAAAGGAAAATAATTTTCAAGCTCTCTGAACTTGAAAAAACAGTTACTATCGGTTCTCTGCTAACATTTTCCCCCAGCAGAGAAGCATGTGAGACATTCAGTTTTGTTTACAGATGGTGCATAAATTATATTCAGACAGAATCTCTTTGAACGGCAGCAGTGTAAACCTTTAAAGGGCAACATGTAAAATGGGATAGAAATTGGCAGCCTTGTTAGGAATTGTTTTGCTCTCTGCAGTCCACGGCTTTCATGGCTGACTGCTCTTAAAAATATCTGAATAGGAACTCCGCAGTGAAAACTAGAAGGATCTTTATCTAACAGCGCGATCCTACCACCCTTTGCAGGAGGAATAATAGAGTTGACAATAAATTATTATTCTAAATACTTTATATTTATTTTCTAGGACTCATTTTGCCACTGCCAAAGAGTAGTTCTTGATTGGTCCAGAGGTAAGACCAATTTCCGGATTTATTTTTTTCTCTTTTTTTTTTTTTTCTTTTTCTTTTTCTTTCTTCTTTCTTTCTTTCTTTCTTTCTTTCTTTCTTTCTTTCTTTCTTTCTTTCTTTCTTTCTTTCTCTTTCTTCCATCCTTCCTTTTTCTTTATTTCTTTATTTCTCTTTTTTCTTCTCTTTCTTCCTTTTTCTTTCTTTTTTCTTTTTCTTTCTTTCTTTCTTCTTTCCCTCTCCTTCCTTCCTTCCTTCCTTTCTTTCTATTTCTTTCTTGCCTTTATTATTTTTATAAATAACTCAAGGCAATGAATATACGAGCTGCGGCAGCGCAGTGGTTAGAATGCAGTAC